ATCTCCTATCATTCAGACGTTTAATTTTGATCAAGAGAGCCATTCATCGTTTGATTTTAGATCCAATGTTTTAAAGTTTTTTATGTTTATTTTTTTTATACAAATTGTATGAATATGGAATTTGATATGTGCCATCTTCTCATTAGGGCGTGCACCTATAAAAAATATTAAAAATAATTTTTTGATAAAATATAATAACCAAAATGCCCCTTAAAACTTTCTTGGGTATTTTGGTTATTTTATTTTATTGACAATATTTTTTTATATTTTTTGCTAGTGCGAGTTTAATAGAGGAATGAACGTCCAAAATTTGGTGTCAAAACTGTTTATAGAAAAGAAAAAATAGTGTAGAGACGTGACATTGTGATTGGGGCAATCTTAGCCCTCCATTCATTGGATAAAGGGGATGATAGAACTTATATTTTGTAGGGGAAGTATAAAAAGCTTGCCCTAAAATAAATTACTTCCATAATATGATTTTGGGCAAGCTTTCTATGTTTTCCCTACATCATAGAAGTTTTATCCTCCCCCTTATCCAACCGTCCATTCTGAATGGAGGGCTAAGATTTCCCCAATCACAATGTTACATCTCTATACTATTTGTTTTTTATTTTTTTTTCTATAAACTATTTTGATACCAAATTTTGGACGTCCATTCCTTTATTAAACTTGCACTAGTGAAAAATATATAAAAAAAAAATTTGCAACAAAATAAAATGACCAAAATACCTTTGAAAATTTTAAGGGGTATTTTGGTCATTATATTTTATCAAAAAATTATTTTTAATATTTTTTATAGGTGCGTCCAAATGAGAAGATGACACATACGAAATTTCATATTCATATAATTTATATAAAAAAACTAAAAATAAAATACTTTGAGACGTCGGATCTAAGATCAAACAGTGAGTGTCTCTCTTGATATAAAATACACTGAGAAATATATATAATATAGATTTATTTTTGGATAGCTCAACAGTACAAATTGTTGCAAAGACTAGTCTTGTATTTCTTTAAGGAAAAAGTCTACATAGAGCCGAGGCTCTAAACAATCAAATTAGAGCCCACTTCAAAATTTTACCAGAAGAGGTTTTTTTTATACTCTTAAGATACATAGACATGAAAAAAAAATAGATTTCAAGTTTTAGAAATAGTACATCTTGTATCGCATTTTTGGACTGTCAATTTTCAAGATTTTTAAGTTTTTATAGATATGCTCGATCTATACTATTTTTGAAATTTTAAATTTTATAATTATAGATAAAAATATATTTTAAGGTTATCACAACGATTTCGAGTACTAAAACTACATTTTTTGATACTATTTTAAGATGCGCTCTACTTTGATTGTTTAGAGCCTCGGCTCCATACAAACCGTATCCTATCTTTTATAGAAGCAAAATAAATTTAATTGGACTTGCCTTTGAAAGAGAGAAAGAGAGAGATAGAGGATAACAAAATTTAGGAGAACTGAGCCAGCCAAAGCAATAGGAGGCTTTCCAAGTGGGAGAAAGAGATAAGAGTATTTTATTTTTAGTTTTTTTTATACAAATTGTATGAATATGAAATTTGGTATGTGATATCTTCTCATTGGAGCACACTTATAAAAAATATTAAAAATAATTTTTTGATAAAATATAATGACCAAAATATCCCTTGAAGCTTTCAAGGGTATTTTGGTTATTTTATTTCATTGAACATATTTTTTTTAATATTTTTCGCTAGTGCGAGTTTAATAGAGGAATTGACGTCCAAAATTTAGTGTCAAAATGGTTTACAGAAAAAAAATTAAAAATAAAATAGTGTAGAGATGTGACATTTTGATTGGGGAAATCTTAGCCCTCAATTCATAATGGACTGTTGGATAAAGGGGAGGATAGAACTTCTATGCTGTAGGGGAAGCATAGAAAGCTTGTCCTACTTTGGGTGCCTCACCATTCCAACAAAATTTTTAAGTAATCAGAACCAATACATCATTATGCCGATAAATTGTCATTAATCATGTCCGAGGGGCATATATCAAAATGGCATTAAATGATGGGTGTGGTTTCTATAAGGTTGCAACATTGAACAATCCAATTAAGGTGCACTTTCAAATTTTATCATAGTATATAATTTTGGTGTATAGATTCTTTAGGATTATCTTAAAATCTATTTCATCTTTAATCATAAAATTTTAGACTCCAAAAATGGTTAAAATCAAGTAGATCTATAAACATATGAAAATCTAAAAAATGAACGGTCTAGGTAATGTGTTGCAAGATCCACTATTTTTTATACTTAAAATCTTTTTTTTTTTCATATTCATACATCTCGATGTCGAGAAATCAATTAGAGGGGTTTTCAACATTAAAACAACCTTTTTTGATGGAGTTTTTAAGTGCATTTGCAATTCTACATTTAAAGTAGCAACCTTATATAAACTTTTTCCTCAAATGATGTGTTGGGTACCGAAAAAAGTAGATAAAACTAAAAGAAGACAAGGGCAAATTAGAAAAGATATAAATTACGATTTATATAAGGTGACAAGCTTAATTGTAGAAGTAAAGTTGCAATATTTCACACCATTCATTTTGACAAGACGATGTAGATAATCTTTTAAGACATTATAAAAAAGGGTAAGGTTTGTATAAAGACTAAGTTCTAAACAATCGAGCCTACCTTCAAATAATGTCGAGAAATGTGATTTCAATATTAGAAATCTTTGTGATAGTGTTAAAATATATTTTTATGTTTATTTATAAAATTTAAAGCTTCAAAAATAGTGTAGATCGACAGATTTATGAAAACTTGAAAATTGACGGTCAAAAAATGCGTTACAAAATACACTATTTCCAAAACTTGAAATCCATTTTTTTTCTCATGGCCATGCTTCTTGATGTCGAGATGATTAATTTGAAGATATTTGGGCATAAAACAAACTTCTTCTAATGAAATTTTTGTGATAAGCTCAAATTTGATTGTTTAGAGCCTCGGCTCTATATAAATTTTTCCCTATAAAAAAAGCACGTCGCCATCGTACAAATAAAATAAACAATATAAATGCCTCGAACCTTATTTCTACAAGGAAGATTGACGCCTTCTATGAACTTTTTCTTACCATAAAGCTCTAGCGTGCACTAAGTTTTCTTTGCATATAAGGATATCTAACCTAAAAATTTGACCTTTTTTTTTCAAAAGCAATAATTTCAAGATGTTCGTAATTTCACCAGTTATTTTTCTTTTATCATTCCCCCCCCCCCCCAAATGCACCTAGTCGAGCACTTGAAATGTCAAACAACATAGTCTTTGTCTTTTTTGTTTTTTTGAACATAAAGGGATAAGCTTGAAGACAACATAGTCTTTGTCAAAGAGGAATTTATTTATTTATTTGTTTATTATTATTATAAAGATGTTGATCTCGTGCATCAAGCGTCAACTAACTTCTAAAAGAAAAAAAAAAAAATCAGATGTGGTCGGACTCTTAAATTACCGAACTGAAACTATTTTTTGAAAAAACTAAAAAATAAAAATAAAGGCCCCGATATCAAAATATAAAAATATTGAGATTAGTTTTTATTTCAAAAAATAAAATTTTGTTTTGTTAATATCCTAAATGTAATTTATAAAAATATATATATATATATATATATATATTTATGTTGAATTATATAAAAGTGACAATAAAAGGTTGAGGAAGAAAAAAAAAGAAGTAAAATTTACCAAAATACCTTTTAGAGATGGAGTATTTTGCATTTAGCTCATTCGCGACTATTCTAAATCAAGATCATTTATTGTTTTATGGTTATTTTAAAATTAAATCAAAAGATATAGGTAAAGCAGTGTTTTAAAATACTTAGATCCGTCTGGTAAACCGGCCATCCATGCAACCAGTTCAAATCGACGATTTGGCCAATAAAAAAAATATAACTATTTCTTTAAAATAATAAAAATAAAAGATATCGGAACCAGGCGATTTTGCTAGGCCGAAGCGATTCCCACATTACCGCCAATTTCCAATCCAAATCAACATTTTTCAAACACCGACTATTAAATTATTCATCTCTTATCAATAATTTGATAAATTCGCAAATTTAAAAAAAAAAAAAAAAAAAAAAAAAACTGACACATGTGTGGACCCCGCATTATGCTCCACGACCCCAACGAAAATGGGTTGAAGTTGAATCTTCACCAGTCGGCATCGGTGTACCATACAAGTCCACCGGCTCCAGGCGGTAATCGGCAGTTAATTGAGTGACCAATCAGTTGTACGCGTGGATATCAGGTGACCGCTTGTGTCGCACATCCTCCATCGTTGATCTCGCTCTACTAATAAAACTACAATAATAAATGAAGTACGCACCGCTCCAGTTCCTTCATCTACCCGCTCCCTTTCCTTTTCAAAATAAAACAATAAAAATATTGCTAAAAATACTGAACAAAAAAATTTAGAGTTTGGGCCGATCAACTTGATCATTATGCAGTAAAAATAATAATTTTATTATAAGCGGTAAAAATAATAATTTTATTATAACACATTATTTAGCCCGTTTATTTTTGAGTATTTATAGATGGATGGGTTTGTATGAGCAAATGCGGTCATCCACTAAAATTCATCTTAAATAAATTTTTTAAAAAGTTTTTTTTATAGATTCATTATCTAGGCCAAAATGATCATAAATGTGAAAAGATAAATGAATTTTTAATATTAAAAATATGATTTTTTTGTATTTTTTAATGTACCATCCATATCTTATTTATGGACAATACACTTTAGATAACGTCAAGTACTGTACCATATTTTGAGTTATAAATTCATAAATTGAAATAGATTTTAGAGATGTTTCATGCCTCTAATGTTTCCAGAATCTAGAAATAAATTTTGAAACGAGGCTTTACCATTTTATCATAAGGCCTGGGCCTCATAAAAACTGTCTGAAAAATATTCGGAAAATGGATGGTTGGGCCATAAAAGCTACTAAAATAAAGTACAACGAACAAAGGTCGAAATTCCAGCGAATATTATCGCATTTGAATATGAAAAGATGAGAGAGAGGAGAACAGACGAGAACCCTGCCCTTTACCCTTTCGATTTCCACGTATAAACTCCTAAAAGCGTTTTACAGAGAGAGAGAGAAGCCTTTTAGAGAGAGAGAAGGGTTGGTAATGTTTGTAGTGGCGGTGGCTGGCTACTATAGTATTACCTGTCACAGATGCTTCTTCACATTATCTTCAGTAGTGTTTGGATGAAGAAGTTGCAGAGAGATCCTTGAGAGAGAAAGTTAGAGAGGGAGAGAAATGGCGGGATCGAACAGGTCATGGAGAGAGGAGCTCGCTAGTCTCGTTGAAGACACAGGAATCAGGTTAACAACGGGAGATAGAGCAGAGGCTTTTGGTGGAGGGTTTGAGGGGGATTCGACGGTGGAGAGAGCGGGGGAGGAAGAGAGCCTTTGGGAGCAGGCAAAAGGGTTTTTGAATGCATCAATGGAGATGATGCAGGAATTGGGGAGTGGTTGTGTTGATATAATGAAGCAGAATGTAGTGAAGGAGGACTCTTTCATTGTGCAGAAGCTTGGGGAACCATGGGCCAAGGCTACCAGGAAGCTCGGTTTCCTCAATGAATTCTTGCCTGAGGATCGGGACCCTGCTCATGCTTGGCCGATTGTTCTCTTTGTCTTCTTCATTGCCCTTGCAGGTACTTCTCTCTCTCTCTCT